ACCATGAACATGGAATGTTTCTCCATCTGTTTGTGTCCTCTCTTATTTCGTTGAGCAGTGGTTTGTAGTTTTCCTTGAAGAGGTCCCTTACATTCCTTGTAACTTGTATTCCTACGTATTTTATTCTTTTTGTAGCAATTGTGAATGGCAGTTTGTCCTTGATTTGGCTCTCTTTAAGTCTGTTATTGGTGTATAGGAATGCTTGTGATTTTTGCACATTGATTTTATATCCTGAGACTTTGCTGAATTTGCTTATCAGTTTCAGGAGTTTTGGGGCTGAGATGATGGGGTCTTCTAGGTATACTATCATGTCGTCTGCAAATAGAGACAATTTGGCTTCCACATTTCCTATTTGAATACCCTTTATTTCTTTTTCTTGCCTGATTGCTCTGGCTAGAACTTCCAGCACTATATTGAATAGGAGTGGTGAGAGAGGGCATCCTTGTCTAGTGCCAGATTTCAAAGGGAATGCTTTCAGTTTTTGCCCATTCAGTATGATACTGGCTGTTGGTTTGTCATAAATAGCTTTTATTACTTTGAGATACGTTCCGTCAATACCGAGTTTATTGAGGGATTTTAGCATAAAGGGCTGTTGAATTTTTTCAAAGGCCTTCTCTGCATCAATTGAGATAATCATGTGGTTTTTGGTTTTGGTTCTGTTTATGTGGTGAATTACATTTATAGACTTGCGTATGTTGAACCAGCCTTGCATCCCCGGGATGAATCCTACTTGATCATGATGGATAAGTTTTTTGATGCGCTGTTGCAATTGGTTTGTCAGTATTTTATTGAAGATTTCTGCATCTATGTTCATCATGGATATTGGCCTGAAGTTTTCTTTTCTTGTTGAGTCTCTGCCGGGTTTTGGTATCAGAATGATGTTGGTCTCATAAAATGATTTGGGAAGGATTCCCTCTTTTTGGATTATTTGGAATAGTTTCAGAAGGAATGGTACCAGCTCCTCTTTGTGTGTCTGGTAGAATTCGGCTGTGAACCCATCTGGACCTGGGTTTTTTTTGTGTGGTAGGCTCTTAATTGCTGCCTCAACTTCAGACCTTGTTATTAGTCTATTCATAGTTTTGGCTTCCTCCTGGTTTAGGCTTGGGAGGACACAGGTGTCCAGGAATTTATCCATTTCTTCCAGGTTTACTAGTTTATGTGCATAAAGTTGTTTGTAATATTCTCTGATGATGGTTTGAATTTCTGTGGAATCTGTGGTGATTTCCCCTTTATTGTTTATTATTGCATCTATTTGGTTGTTCTCTCTTTTCTTTTTTATCAATCTTGACTCTTAATAAAAGTAATTTTCTCTCTAACATATAAAAATCAGATGGTTTTACCACTCCTTCAATGAACCTATAATTTAAGAGTTAGCCAATGTCTCCCTTGTTCAACTCAAAAAGCAATGTTTTCTAGTGAGCACAACATCAAGAACATAAGAAAAACTATCACACATTCCCAGGTAGATGTTTCTTACCTTTTTTCTGATTGTGAAAATAATACATTAAAAACTCAAAATTATTTAGAAAATTTATTAAACAAATTATGGTATATCCATATGAAGAAATACTGTGAATTAATCAAAAAGCAACAAATATGAAATTTTCAGAATATATTATGTGGATAAAACAACTTACAAGACTGCATGGTTTAATCCCAATGTTGTTAAAAGTATGAAAAAAAGAGAAAGATCAATTGATTGGGTATTCTGTGAGCCAGAACTTTTTAAAACTATTTTTGAGAAAGACTATTGATAAGCACAAAGTAAGATGGTAGGCCAGGCACTGGGTTCATCTTTTCTTCTTTCTTTAAAAAATTAAATTTGGTCAGGTATGGTGGCTCACATCTGTAATCCCAGCAATTTGGGAGGCCAAGGTGGGTGAAATGCTTGAGGACAGGAATTTGAGACCAGCCTGGCCAACATGGCAAAACCCCATCTCTATAAATACAAAAATTAGCTGGGTGTGGTGGTGTGCACCTGTAGTCCTAGCTACTCAGGAGGCTGAGGCATGAGAATCATTTGAACACAAGAGGCAGAGGTTGCAGTGAGCCAAGACCGCACCACTGCACTCCAGCCTGAGCAACAGAGTGAAACTCTGTCTCAAAAAACAAATTTTAATTGTAATTAAAAAAAAAATCACTCCTCCCAGACCCAACTCTCTTGTAACTAACAATAAACCCTAGACCAAAACTAAAACAAAGCAGGCAAACTCTGAAGGCAATGAAGAGTAAAGAAAAGTGATAGAGATCTAGATAGAAGTTGACTATGGGGAAAAAGGTAATGACACAAAGTGAGTTATTGGTCTTTAATGACTTGTAGCCTGAGCACACATCAAAGTTGGCACCATACAGAGTATATAAAACTTCAACAGGAAACTCACAGTCTTTCTAGCCTGAAGAACAACAGGGTAGAGTTCAAGGAAATCAGAGCTGCAGGAAAGTAAGGTGGGAATCCTGGAAAGGAAAGATTCCCAAATTCTGTAAATAAAGCCTTTTCAAATATCTGTCTCTTCTCTGAACTGCCACCCAAGTGCTGCTACCCAAGACAAAATTTGTAGTTTAAGTCCAACCAATTTAACTGGCTGATAGAAGGGAGGAAAGATGAAGAGGAAGGTGTGTTATTCTGTTTGCATCACTATAAAGAAATATCTGAGGTTGGGTAATTTATAAAGAAAATCTGTTTCATTTGCTCTCTGTTTTGCAGGGTGTACGGAAAACACAGCATCTGCTTCTGATGAGGGCCTTAGGAAGCTTACAATCATAGTGGAAGACAAAAAGAGAACAGGCACATCACATGGCAACAGCAGGAGCAAGAGATGGGCAGGGGAGGTGCCAGGCTCTTTTAAACAACCAGATCTCACAGGAACTCAGGGCTAGAACTCACTTTTCACCAAAGGGATGTTGCTAAGTCATTCATGAGGGATCTGCCCCTGTGATCCAATCACCTCTCACCAGGCCCCAATTCTAACATTGGGAATCACATGAATTTGGAGGCAATAAATATTATCAGGAGGGAAAGAAGAAAGTGAAAGAGGAAATGAGGAATGAAAAAGAGAAGAAAGAAGGAAGAAAGAGAGGAAAGAAGAAACCTTTTCAGGGGAATGGAATTGAATCTGGAATCTCCACAACATAATAGTCAATATTTTTGATAGTGATATCAAGAATACAACCCAAAATTACTCCATATACAAAGAAACGGGAAAATGTAATCCATTTTCAAGAAAAGAGACAATCCACAAATCCAAACCTAGATGACCTAGATGCTGAAATTGGCAGATAAAGATTTTAAAGCTTAAAACATGAAAGAAAATAGGTTTGCAATAATGTAGAAATAAGAAATCGCAGTAGAGGAAAACTATAACAAAGAAACAAATGTAAATGCTACAACTAAAAAATGCAATGTCTAAACTAAAAAATTCATGAATAGGCTCAACAGCAGACTAAAGATAACAGAAGAGACAGTGAATTTGAAAAAAAGATCAATATTACTGAATCTAAAGAACAGAGAAAATAAGATACTTGGAAATAAAAATAGTTTCAGAGACCTACAGAACATCAAAAGGTCCAACATAGGTATAACTGGAATCCCAGAAGAAGAAAAGAGGGGATAGGACAAAAAATATTTGGACAAATATTATAGATCTTGATAGAGATTTGTATTACACTGACATATACATTTGTCAATATTCAACAAATATACACTTAAAATTCAACAAATATACACAAAATTCTAAATTCACTTGGGCAGCTCATTGTGTATAAAATTTATGTCAAAAGAAGAAAACTGTAAAGAGATTGTCAAATTCCAGTAAATGATATATATGTTTAAGTGTTTGCAAGGAAATATATTGGTGTCTTCAATTTACCCTAAAATTCATTCCCCTCCAAAAAGGGGATGAATAATGGATAAAAGAATTAATAGGTAGACATCTATTTGATAAAGCAAGTACAGTAAGTAATGTTAATGGCAGAATTTATGTGGTGGACATATGGGTATTGGCTTAATAGTTTTTTGTTTGTTTGTTTTACTTTCCTGTATGTTTGAAATTTTTCTAATAAAATTTTGAGGGTAAAAAAGCCATTGTGCCTTATAGTGTGTCAATGGACTAACATAAATTGCTTTTTTAAAAAACAAGAGCTACATGTTATTTCATCCTCTCTCTATTAATCCATTGGCTTCTACATCACCCAAATTCAGCCAGTGGATCTACCTTATTCAAGTAACTATTTAGAATGAGAAGTACAGATTGGTGAAGAAAGAAGGGAAGGAAAAATGACTATTTGACTGTTTCCTTATTTTTCATTGCACCAAATATTAGAAAATAATAAGTAAGAAACATGTCTTCTATGTTTACTAACCAATACAAAATAACTCCTTTACTTTTTCATTCTAGACATGTGATGGATAACTGAGGTATTATAATTACAGATATCCTTCAGTACATGTGAGGGATTGGTTCCAGAACCCTCCATGGATACCAAATCCATGGATGCTCTAGTTCCTTACATAAATGGTGTAGTATTCACATATAACCTACACATATCCTCCAATATACTTTAAATCACCTCTTGATTACTTATAACACCTAATACAGTGTAAATGCTATTGACATAGTTGCTACACTGTATTGTTTGGGGGAAAATGACAAGAAAAAAGTCTGCACATGTTCAGTAGAGACACAATCTTTCATTTCTTTTCCAAATATTTTTGATCTGCAGTTAGTTAAATCCACAGAAGTGGAATCCATGAATAGGGAGGCCCAATTATATATTATTGCTTGAAAAAAGGCCAAATCTACATATAAATTATTGTATTATGATCAGATTTCAAAATGGGACTTGTCAAAAATACTGCACATTAAGTTCTTCTACAGAAAAAGTAAAATATAAAAAACAAAATACAAAGTTTTATATGAATTTTGTATTAAAAATACCGAAGCAAAATAACAGCACTTAAATGCTACATAGTGATTTCTAAATCTTGCTATTTTATTGTTTACCTTCAAGTTCTTCCAGAGGTGAAGTAGTTCCTTGTGTCCTGGGTTGAATATAAGATAACTTAAACTTGGGCACCACAAATGGTACTTCTTTACCCTCAGATGGTAATTTGGAAAGCAAATAATCCTCAGTACAGCCAAACTGAGGCTGTACAGAAACAGAAGTCAATGGAGGTACAGAGATAGCAGCATTCTGACTATTTGGGAGTGTTGCTTTATAATCTCTTTCCACAGAAACTGCACATAAAAGAAAAAGGAAAAGAAAAATGTCATAAATATGAATATAGATTACATATAATCTAAACCTAGCATACTTTGATATTTAACCATTTTAGAACAAATTACTGACACATTTACTCTTGGGTCTTATCAAACACTTCTGGAATCTACATTAATTTTGTCCAGACAATGTTTGAGCAATTAAAACATTATTGCTAAAGTGCATTAACTTATCATAACAGTAAAAGCAGCTTTAAATGGTCTTATTCCCAAAAGAATCCACAGATGGAAAACAATTTTATTTCATAGTCAGTCACACAGTGCTTTCAAGTAAAAATCTAGTCATTTAAAAATACTGTCAACAAAAGCAATTCTTGTCAGTACTACTGGTTAACATCAGTCTTAATTACATAGAGCAACACTATAAGGAAGCTAAAGGTCTCTAAGTCTATAAAAATCTCAACCAAATCACAAAACAAAATACACTCTGGCCGTCAATATATTTCATAACAGCAGCTATCCCTGTCGTAGTTTTTATGACCCATTTTATTCATTCTCTAGAATCATATGTGATTCCTCAGCTACATGACTTACGATGAGAACTAAGTTATTCTTTATATATATGTATAATGCTATCTGTAGACTGAATGAAAGTACAAATACTATTGTGTAGAAATTTATGAAATGTTTCAATGTAAAAAAGAAGCCTTCATACTCAAATATACTATGAAGCTCTGCTCTAGCTTAAGAAAAAAAGAGCCAGAGAAGAGATAAGGAAGCCATGCAATAGAGAACTCTCCAAGGGTCCTTAATAAATATGGGTCTTCATAAAGTTATGAGTCTCTTCCCCACTGGTCATTGATTAATTCAAGGCATTTTTAATGTTATATACATATTCAAAATTGTCTTTATTTAAATCAAAACATGGGTCAGAATATGTTGTCTCTCAAACATACTTCTCTTCCCTCCTTGCCTTTGACTGTACTATTTCATCCACCTGTAACACCCATATCCAGCTTTCAGCTTCTCTCCTTTCTTCCAACCATCTTGCTAAACTCCTATTCAGATTTCCAGGGCAAACGCAATCTTCTTTATGGTAATGTCTTACGTGTCTCTTGGATTGAATTAATCTCTCTCCCCTATGCTCCAGACTACATGAAGTTATGGAATATTTATCCAGTGTGCCTTATATTTCTGCTTCTCCCAAGAAGTTGGAAAACATGCCTAATTTTTTATATTACAAAATGCCACAAATGAAGAAGGTGCTACAGAAATGTTACTGACATCAAAATAAAACAAAACTCACAGTTGTGTTTTTCTGTTTCACCATAGAAACATCCTCTACAGCAACTCTTTATAAATTCTGTTGCCATTACATTCAATTTCCAATATCCAGCAAAAGATACAAACTTCCAATCTTAATATTAATCTGTGGGTAGAACAGAAAACAAGTTAACATGCTCGTCATGCTTAATGCCGTAAGATGTTATTAAAAAACCATATTATCTGTCTTTATAAGATATAATGAGGATTCTCAAGCAAAAATACTTAAGAGGAAAATAGATTTTTGTAACCATATGAAATGTTGTATAACTTATCTATAAGTTGTTAAAATGACATGTTTAGAAATTACTAAATAATCTCAACGTTAAAATCTGGAAAAAATAAGAAAAATCCCATTCTTAATTTTCTTTCAGGAAAAATAAGATGGAAGACTGAGTGGAGAGATTAGAGTAACAAGGGGGGGATGTGTTTATGAGAAAGAGAAGGGACAGTGTGGAAAAAGAAAAGCAACATGGAAGAAACAAAAACAGAAAAAAAGAGAGAAAGAAGAATAAAGAGGTAAACTAGGACTATTGCTGGTAAAACAGCAAGAAACCTAAGACAAGAGCACATAGAATTAGGAAGAGATGTTTGGGAAGGGAGTTGAAAAGGAAAAGGTCAAAAACAAGTGGGAACAAACCTAGAAATAGAGAGTGGAGACTAGACAGCAGGAGAGACAGTGAGCTAAGGAACAGCGAGAGATAAGAAGTAAAGAGGGAAAGAGTAGAATGAAGCAGAGAGAGAGGGAAAGGAAAATGAAGATGAGAGGTATAAAAGGGCAGAGAAATCAAAGAAGAAAAAAGGATGTAGAAAGAGGTAAGAAAAGGAGAGGGGAAAACACAAAATGCAAAAGAAAAAAAGGAGAAAAGAAAAAATGTTCAAAGAAACAGTAAAAGAAACTGAAAAGAGGATGAAAGATGAGAAAAGGGGAAAAAGATTGAGATAGAGAAGCAGAGTAAATTTAGGGGCATTGGTCAAAGAATACAAAATTACAGTCTTGATAGGAGAAATAGGTTCAATAGCTCAATTGTACTGCATGCTGACTACAGCTAATGAAGATCTGTGGTCCTCTTGAGAGATGCGAAGGCTAGATGTTTAATTCTCTCCACAAAAATAACTATGTCAGATAATGCAGATGTTAGCTAGTTTTAACCATTTCACAATGTGTAGGCACTTCAAAACATCACATTGAATATAATAAATACATATGATTTGGTCAATTTAAAAAGTAAAGAAAAAGCATATCAAAAAAAGTAAAGACAGAGTGGTAAAGAATACAGGGTTAGAGAGTTAGGAGTATATGAGGATAAACAAAAACAGACTAGGAGAAAGGGATATGAAATTAAAAAGTTGATAGGGAAAGAAACTAAGTATCTTAAAGAAAAGATTATTCATTATTCTAATAAGTACATACATAGTATAACTAAAAAAAATTTTCTCTTTCACCTGATCTATCTTAATCTATGTCCAAGAAAAAGTTGAAAGAAAATATGGCACTCCATAAAAAGTGTGAGAAAACATTCACTTCCTCCAGATCAATTATTCTGGTAATTCAAAGGCCCTATAATGGGGACTAATAAACAAATAAACTGCATACTATATGAATTATTTTAATCTTTAGAGTTACATTAATAGAAAAGTATACCTTAAGTACTACATCACATACACACAAAAAGATACCATAAATAAGATATAGTACAAATAAAGGAAGTCTACTTTATATTTATCAGGAAATTAAATTGTACAAGAACTTCATGTCCAATTTCTCATTGTCTTGGTCTCAATGTCTTTGTTCTAAATGTACTCTCTTCATTTATGCCTACTTAAACTCCATACATTTTTTACAGATTTTAAATATATGCGAGGAAGTGTAACAAAACCCTAACCAATCAGATTAAAATAACTGTCAGCTCATGTTGTTCATCTTATTTTGCCTCTGCCTCCCCATTTACCCTGTCGTTTGGATTATTTTGAAATAATTTCTAATCATATAATTTCATCCATAAATACATAAATAATGATCTCTAAAACGTGACAAAAGACTCAAGAGTTAACTTCAAGGGGCTCTCACTGGCTGAAGGTGAATCATTTCAAGTATTAATACAAACAGTGTCTGTAATGAATGGTAACATATCAAATGTTTCTAAAATGTTGCTCTTTTTAAAGATAACCATAATAGTATTATCATGTGTAAAATAACTAATATAACCAACTACTCGGTCACTGTTCAAATTTCTGCTATGGTCTCAATTTTTATAGTTGTTTTGTTGAAATTAAGATCAAAGTTTAAACTGTTTCATCTTTTGTTATTAGAAATGGTGCCAGCCAGGCGCGGTGGATCACACCTGTAATCCCAGCACTTTGGGAGGCCGAGACGGGCGGATCACGAGGTCAAGAGATCAAGACCATCCTGTCCAACATGGTGAAACCCCGTCTCTAGAAAAAAAAAAAAGAAAGAAATGGTGCCACAGTAGCTTAGTGCACACATATTTCTTAGATATTTCTCAGTATGTATCTATAAGATAGATTCCTAGAGATAAGACTATGGGGTCAAAAGGTGTATGTATGTAATTTTGCTTGTATAGCCAAAATTCTCTCTGAAGCTACACCATTTTGCATTCCCAATAGCAATATATAAGAGTACCTTTTTCTGTTACCAACAAAATGCATTGTCAAACCAATGAACTTTTGCCAGTGTGATAGGAAAGAAATGATATATTGTGTTGTTTTAATTTACATCTATTATAAGTGATGTTCCGCTTCTTGTCATATAAGATTAATCTGTAACTGTTTATAAGAATTCTGTTCATTATCTCCTGCCAATATTTTCATAAAGCTGTTGGTCTTTTTCTTCTCCAGTGTTTGGAGTTCTTTAGATATTTGAGAGATTAACACTTTGTGCATGATACAAGTGACAAACATCCTTCTGGTTTGTCATTTGTCTTCTTGCTTTGATTATGGCATTTTCTGCTATGCAAAAGTGTGTGTGTTTTACAGATCACACAAGAATTTACCCATGTTTCCTTCCAGTACTTAGTATAGTGTTATTTTCTATATGACATCCTGTTACACAGTATGAGAAATGGATTCACACTTACCTCTTCCCAACTGACTATCTCATTAGCACAAACACCACATATTAAAAATTCCTTATTTTCTCCACTTGCAGGATGCTCCCTTTAATACACATTAAATTTCCATATGCAATTGGGTATATTGTGCATTTCTATTCTAATTGTTCTGTCTATTCTTGTACCAACAGCATATCATTTTAATCTTAAAGGCTTATATCATGTTATAACATGTAGCAAAATAAGTCATCTTTACCAGTCTTCACTTTCTGCATTTTCTTAGCTGTTCTTTCTTGTCTGTTCTTGAAAATGAACTTTATAATCTGTCTAGCCCTAGCAAAAAAAATCTAATGGTATTTTCATCAGGATCATATTAAATTTATAAATTATTTTTTAAAACCTGACATCTCTAAGAATATTGAGTCTTCCTACCCAGAACATAGTATATCTTTATATTTGTTCAGGTTTATGGTTGTGCCTTTGGGAGTTTTCATAGTTCTCATAAAAATTCTGAAGATTTCTCAGTAAGTGTATTCCTATATAATTTGCTTGGCTACCGTAAATGGCGTCTCTTCTTCCATTACATCTTGTGACTGATTTTTTTTCTCTGAAAACTTTGTTTTAATACAATTGAACATTTCATCCCCCCCCAACAGTAACCAAAGCAAACATTTTACCATTATTATTCTTGCTATATCAAACTAAATTCCAGGAATGTAAGAAAGTCTGACTTGGAAATATTACATAGGAAAAGGCTGAAGTAACGCATTACATTTTTTAGTTTTTCCTTGTAAATATACATTGACATCTACTTATCTGATAGCAACACTGCTGGTTTTGAGTGAGTTTGTTTCCTACCAGAGGGAATGCAGTATGGTAGCATTATCTTTAAAACAAATTAAGAAGATAGTAAACAAATAACAGAAGAAATACTTCTACACATGTATTTTCCGTGGGCAATAAATATAAGTATATACTTATGAAGAAATATGCCTCAACTATGCTTTTTTAAATTTCTCAAGGTTTACTGGTTTGTTTTTCCTTTTTTTGTTTTTGAGACAGTGTTGGGCTCTGACACCAAGCTGGAGCACAGTGGCGCAATCTCAGCTCACTGTAACCTCTGCCTCCCGGTTCAAGTGATTCTTCCGCCTCAGCCTCTTGAGTAGCTGGGACTACAAGCACGCACCACCATGCCCAGTTAATTTTTGTATTTTTTAGTAGAGACAGGGTTTCACCATGTCGGTCAGGATGGTCTAGATCTCTTGACATCGTGATCCGCCCTCCTCGGCCTCCCAAAGTGCTGGGATTACAGGCGCGAGCCACCACGCCCGGCTAATTTTTTTTTATTTTTAATTTTTAGTAGAGACGGGGTTTCACCCTGTTAGGCAGGATGGTCTCAAATTCCTGACCTCATGATCCGCCCACCCTGGCCTCCCAAAGTGCTGAGATTACAGGCCTGAGCCACCGCGCCCGGCCTATTTTTAAAATGTATACATTTTCAAAGGCCCTGTTCAGCCCCAGCATATCAGAGTAAAACACTCCTTAACCACCCAAATCAAACGAATATTATCTCATCTCTAGATGTCTAGTGTCTTTAAAAGAAAGTTTAACATTTTTCTTAACATTTGATGAGATCTTGTTCTATCTCCTCTGTTAGAACAGAAACTGTTCAAAAACAATATTGTACTCACTTTCTGCCTAGTACTCAGTACACTGTATGATGCCAGAAATGTAGTTGAAATTCAGCAAACACCTAGTTGATAGATAAGGAAACAAAGTACAACTATCTCCTATAAAAACTCACAATATATTCATCAAACCACATCTCTGACCCCAGTTAGCTTGCAAATACTTAACGTTAATCATGACAGGAATGTGAAAGAATTGGTTAAAAACGACTACTACTTTAAGGGGAAAAGTCCTCAACGCTGATGGCCTTGAGACATCCAAAATGAGTTGGGGAAGATGGAGGAAGGTAGTAGAGAGACAAATTTATATGAATAAAATGTGAAATCTTTAAAATGAACACCCAGTA